GTTTCCCCCCTACTGCTGCTGTGCCTTGTGCTGTCCCCAGAGATGACTCGACTTGAGGATGCAAGTGATGAATCACCTCTACAAATTTGGGAAGCAAACCTGATGTCCCGGATGACAGGCCAAAGTATTGCACAGATATGACACAGGTATTTCTGAAGGTGGAATCTAAGCAGACCTACAGCAGACGGACCCTAGACATCCTGTACGAGGTGAGAATCTGATCATGGGCAAGATCAACACTAGTAGACAAGTTCATTGCAAATTACTAGGGCTCCATTGAAAATTGCGTGGATGTGGCCATGAACTGTGCAAGGTTATGCTACTCCCCAGTGGGATTTAGTTGCATCATTGTCGGTATTCCGAGAAGACGAAGAATTAATTTGGAGAAAAGGAGAACCACTGATCTGCCGGTTTGGTCTTCATCCTTGTGACATGCCTTTGGTCTGCTCAAAAGTTCACTAGTACTTCCACAGATTTTAATGAGCCAGCCTTTATGCCATAAAGTAGTAGTCATCACTAAAATACCTTCTAGATCATTGGACCATACCAACATTGGCGACTTCAATTCCAGATGCTAGAAGTAGCATTTTTTGGTTGAATAATAGAAAGTATTGCAGACCAGCCACTGTCAAGTAAGATTTCTAATTAGCAGGCTGAGAAGGCTGTAATTACTTCCGGTGGTCCGGTTGTATGCGACAAAACGTAAACGTGGCGTATTTTTGAGGGTTTGCCTACCCTCATATTTGCTCTGGACTCCGTAGGGTAGAAAAAGTAAAAATGTCAAAAGTAAACGCGATGATGCCAGTACTCCTGATGTGAGGCTGGGAAGGAGAAGGTAGACAATCTCAAGGCAGGCAAATACTGCGATTCGTCAGAAGTTGACGTTATTGCATCCACTGCTCGAATATTCAACCCGATCCCAAAACTCTCGCTCTCATTCACTATCTCTGAATGGCTAATATCACCTACAGGTGGTGACTAAAAATGTTGGTGACGGCTACAGAGCAACGAGCCATACAGAAGACCGTGACTGGGTGAGAGTAAACCACCTTAATCTCCCTGACTCATCCGGCTCTCGCATGAGTATATGTGGCACCCGTAGGTTGGTCATATTCGTAGGCAAATAAAAACCACCGCGTTGAAGGACCTGTTACCTGATTACTACAGTTGGCAACTCGATAGAATGCTGTTGCACATAAAGGAGCATTCCGGTGCTCAATGCAAACATGGCAGACGCCTTGGCATAGAGGTCTACTCACCCAGATCACAAATGTGTTATTCCACCTTCTCATAACTTCGAAACCGAACAATCTGGCGTGGACCCAATTATAAGGCCATGGCAAGGTGGGTAGTGAAGTGCTAGCATTATTCGCTGTGCACTAGCCACCAATAACTAGCCAACTTATGCTTCTTTTCAGTACTTATCAGTCTCTTCACCTCTTCCTGTGACATCACTTACTAACAAGCTACATCTCGACGATGAGTGAGTCTTTAAAGGACCATCCATTGGAGTCCTCCCCAAAGGTGTAAAAGAGCTGGTCACAGAGGTTTAAAAGTGACGGTAGAAGGGATTGTCAGCCAGAGGTGTGGACAGAGCAGAGAGCCACACCTCGCAGTGTCCGAGCGCTTCTTAGAACAGTGTCTGAACAAATTGGCAAGTTATCACCCCACCCTTAAGTAGATTCTGCAACATAATGTACACTGAGGGTAAAAGAGAAGTTGTGATGACGTGTTTATTTATTTTTGTACACAAAGCCCTACAAATATTCAACAGTGTCAAAATA